CTCTCTCTCTCTCTCTCTCTCTCTCTCTCTCTCTCGAGTATCTTTACTCTGAAGATGTTAATATAAATTACCTTAAGGAAGTCAGAACTGATGCTCTTTATGCAAAAATTGCAGGATGCACATATCATGACAGACCTAATATTGCTAATCCCTCTACAAGAGGATTTGGTCATTACATAAAGAATACTATTCCATCAAAAGTGATATTTGGCAACCGTGTCAATACATGTATTGAATAGCTTGGTGTTGTAATGTTTCTTGTTGGTAAAGCTTTCACCATCCTCAACGTATATAACTCACGTGATAGTGAAGTTGTACTTAAACCTCCAGACAGTACGATACATAATGCTACTGTCTTACTGTGTGGGGACTTTTAATTGCTCGACGGTAATTTTTTATGACTATCAGTGACCCCATACACCTATTATGCCCCTTTGAAAAGACTCATTATCCAGGTGGCAAATTAGATTATATATCTATATAATCAGCACACACTTCCTAGCACTGCTAAGTTGTCCCGTTCTTAGCCAGTGGTCATTGGGCATTTAAGTATCACCCTCACATCTGCTAAAAGAAGCCTACCCCAGTCACGCCTTCGGTACCATCTTGCTAATAAAGATCATGATGAGTTTATTAAAAGGATTGGCTGCTGGTATGAAGACTTTATTCCTACCAGCCTTGATCACTTTAATGAAACTCTCTGTGTGCTGTGCTGGCGCAGCGGTAAGGTGCTGGTCTAGCAATCTTGCGGACCTGCGTTCAATCCCACGCCCGGCCAGTGAGTGGTAACCCCGGCCACTCCTTGCACACAGGGGGAGATTTGGGCAAAATAAAACAGACAATATGTCACAGCAAAGAATATCCATTGTATCAAATGGAATTAAAACTAAATCTTTAAAAAATCTTAAAAATCTCTGTCAACAAGTTGGTAACCCCATTACCCAACTCCAGCCCAGAAACCCTGCCTTCATCACCCTGAGGCTAACGAGCATATTACCTGAACAAAGAATCTGAAATAAAGCTACTTAGAATGTTAATAAGGTCTACAGTAAATCAGCTAAAATACTGAGTAAGAAACCCCTACATAGCTAGACCTGTGAAAGGATCCTCCTCAATCGTCTGCTCCACCAGATCAAAGATCAAATTCACCCATCAGTCTTTGGTTTCCAAAAGGGGAAAGGAACACAAATATGTTCAGCACATTACCTCAGTGTAAGTAATGCAGTCTTCTTACTCCATATATTTCAAAGGAGCATTCGACAGAGCCTTTCCTATTGCAATCCTCCATGAATCAACTCTCCTAGGAGTTAAGGACAAGTTTCTGCTATGAATAAAGGATTATCTGTCCTCTCCTTTTCTCCTCTTCCCTCTCCCTCTCCCTCCCTCTTCCCTCTCCCTTCTCCTTCTCTTACCTTCTCCTCTCCCTCCTTCCTCCCTCTTCCCTCCCTCTCTTCTCCCTCCCTCTCCCTCCCTTCCCTCCCTCTTCCCTCTCCCTTCCCATCCCTCCCCCTCCCTTCTCCCTCTCCTTTCTCCCTTCTCCTTTCCTTCCCTCACGCCTCTCTCTCTCCTTATCTATTCGTCTTTCCCTCCATCGATCTATCTTTCTATCTATCTCTCTCTCTCTCTATCTCCCCTCGTGCGCGCTCGTGGTCGTGAGTCCCAGCTCGAAGCCCAGACGCCTGCGAACGAGGAGGTCACCACGACGACGACGACCTCCGCTGCCCCCGGGACTCGCCCTTGAAGTCCGACGCGAAATCGCTCAGGGGGCGTGGGACTCGGGAAATAGAGGGGCGGGGCATGAGGTGTTGTGTTATGTGGTGGTGTATATATATATATATACATATACTAATTAATATATTTATATATGATCTTATTAAATATTATATATATTACAAAATGTAGTATATATAAATTATATAAATATATAATTTATGTATTATAATAAAATATAATATGTATTATATTATTTAAAGTATGTATGCATATATACATATGTTTATATATAATAAACACATATATAGACACAAATATGTACATGCAGATACATACATATATATATATATATATATATATATATATATATATATAATATATATATATATATATAATTAAATATATTGAATTATATATATAAAATATATGTATTCATGTCTCTATGTGTATATGTATATGCATTTACACACACACACACACACACACACACACACACATACAATATACATATATATATATATATATATATATAATATTATATATATATATATATATATGTATGAATGTATGTATGTATGTAGTGTATATATGAACACAAGTTCAAACACAGTAATGTGTACACAAAAAATGAAAATGAAAACAAGCCACAGTAAAATATGAACACATTTCATATCTTCATGTGGCCGTTTTCATTTTCAATATATATAGATAGATAGATAGATTAGATAAGATAGATATAGATATAGATATAGATGATATATGTGTGTGTGTGTGTGTGCATTTTTACACACACACACACACACACACTATATAATATATATATATATATATATATATATATATATATATATATTATATATACATATATACATATATATACATACATATATATATATATATATATATATATATATATATATATATGAATGGAAAAACACTCTACCGTGTTGATACTATAGTAGAAAAAACCACAACGCACACACTAGATTTATTAAAGTAAGTGAGACAACAGTTTCGAAATCGTCCTCGATTCCATCTTCGTTTTTTTCTACCATATATATATATATATATATATATATATATATATATATATATTATACATACATATGCATGTATATATAAATATATACTCATATATACATCCTCCGTTAATAATTCCCTCTATCCTTTTCTCCCCATTTCTTCCTCTGCAATGTTCTCCCACCAACACAAAGGCACTTAAACACACCCCTCTCCCACAAAGTCACATAAAAATCGACCAACATGAAAAGTACCTGCCGCGCTCTCCCTACCATTCCCTTATACAAGCGTGGAAAGTAGCTCACGACAGCAGTTCGCTCTTCACCTGCGTGGGGGGAGGTTGTCGCCTTGACCTCGAACTCCACCCCCTTCCCCTATCCAGGTCCTTACCTCTACGTAGACATACATACACGGATACACGCATACATACGCACATACACACCACATACACAAAGACGGATACATACACATACACGACATACATGTACATTATGTGTGTGTCTTGTGTGTATTTTTCGAAATTGTATATATACAGTACTTGTATTTCGTCCGTATCATTTGGTAATGCAAAATAACGTAATCATGTATTTTTAGAAGGCCATGCTACACGCTACAGATTTTAACTAAATGCTACACTCTGTCGATTTAAGCTTTACTAACAATTATCTTTTTTTTTACACATTTAACAGACAATAATAATAACAACACTCGATCTGATGTTAGTGTCACGTAAGACTTTTCATTCTTACCGACAAATTCATGTATTACGAAATAAGAAATTTGATGGTTAACATTGTAAGCACTCTGTTCCATATGGCAAGGTTAATATTATAACTTTATAAGTCAGTTAGTCGATAACAGACATGAGTGAAGATTCAGAAGCCAGAAGTTGGATTCTATTTTGGGAAACTCAATACAGAAACTTTTCTAAGTATAGGAGGTATGAAAACCCCTTTCCCTTCTAAATATTTACTTCTTAAATAATACACCACTTCTTATAAAACTAACTGAAAGTGGATACCCACACCATTTACAGTATACCACAAACTTGACATAATATTCCATTCCTATCTATGGCATTATACTAACCTTACATATATTAGCGTTGTTTTAACAGTTGTCAACAGTTTTAATATTACAAATTATAGCTAGATGTAAGGTTCATTTCGGTAAAATTCACGAAGGCTAGCTCATCGGCCTACATCGTTTCAGCTGCTAGGGTCGACTTCCCTGAATGCCATAACTGAATACTTATCTCGGGTCCGGATTACCACTCCAGCCTGCACGAAGTGACGGCCATAACCTATTCAACAGCCAGGCGGTGGTAGTCGAAGGTCTTTGTCTAAGAAGGTGTGTTTGTTTACACTTCAGAAGGTACTGCAAAAGGGTGTTCCTTGACGCTTTGCAGTGTTGACTATAGCGTGCGTCATTGTCACTGACCGGTTAACTGCCATGTATAGCGTTAGCCAATCATGAACCCTCTGTAGATGACATAAGGACGGCAGTGCTTCATTGCCCTTGATATTTGAATTCCAGCTGGTCAAGGAGGAGAATCTCGATTTTTGTCTAAAGCTGCAGGACAGCAGTCTGTTTCTTGGTTGAATGACCTCTTCATTCAGGGACTTTCCGCTACCAGTTTACTTAAGCTCATTTCCATGAATGCCAGTGTGCCTAGAGATCCTGCTGAATCTACTCTGACCGAGAATTTTCTTTGCTAGGGTAACCATTGTGGTCGGGAGGTGTGTGCTGCAATTGATAAAAGCTATATTTAGTTGTCCTGAAATCAGTATGTGTGACGAGATATCCATTCTTCGTCAGTGCATTGCCCAGGGCTCCTAAAACATTTGCAGCGATGAGACATTGTCTGACACCCAGGCTGGTCTTTACCTGTAAAATCATTGCGGGGGATGTGGGGTCTACTGTTCCAATCGTGAAGCATGTGGTACTCCTTAGTACCACATGCTTCGGATAACCTGTGAACTCTTAAGAAAAATCTGCACGGATTAAGCCACAGAAAAACAATTGTACAGACGGAAAGCAAGGCAGTAATTGTTGCAGACCAAACTTTATAGTCGTGTGTGTGTCTGTGTGTTCGTGTGTGTGTGTGCGTATAGAGCCAAATATATGGAAAGATACATATGTAAATGTGTATATAAAAATGAATAAAACTCAATGATCTTAAATAGTCAACCCTTCAACAAATCCATTTTCTATCACAGCAACAAATCTCCACAAGGGAATGAGAAAAAAATAGTCCCTCCCTTCACCGACTCCATTTTCTATTACTTGACTTTGTTTACTCGAATCAGCTGACTCTCGTATTCCAACGTCAAAAGAGCCAAAGATGGGCAGCTTGTTTTCCAAAAAGCCTCAAAGTAAAGTGACAGAGCAAGATAAGGCTGTGTTGGTGGGTTTATTTAATACTTCTGGAAGAACATTTTGAAAGTGTTATAGATAGAAATTCAGTTTGATGTTTATTAATGTCGAATGACCTTTGACTTCCCGGGGTTACCATGTTATAGTACTGTGTATATTGATGTTCATTTTCTAATTATGTACTTAAAATTATTCGTTGTTACATCTAGAATATCTACACTTCATGTAGTCTTATTTAAACGCTTAGAATGATTAGTTACATTACAGGTAGATGTGTAATACATGGTCCTTTGTTTATCTCTGCAATCATTCACTTTTTCAGTTTTTCATCAACAGTAAAATAGTTTTTCAGAAATACCCGACCACACATCCGATGATATTGATACAAGTCCCAATGGATTCCTCTCACCCTCTACTACTTTTATCAATATATTAGATGCAGCCACAAAATTACCCACAAATTTTGCCCAGTTCAGTTAGGGAGGGCATGAAGGTTACTAGGGGACATCGCAGGGAAAAAATGGCGGATGGATTATATAATATATATTATATATATACCTATATATACATATATATACTTCATATATATCACTTAGTATGATATATGATAAGATTATGAAGATATCTTAATTGAGCGGGGCTATACCATGCAACACAAAGAATTTTCCACAACAATATTAATAGCGATGGAGATAGACAGATGGTGATAAATAGGGGTGTATTATTCCATGCCATTGCTTGTAACCCCCATGTGTAGGCTGCACCCCGACCCCTGCATTATATACTTGTGTAAATCATTCACTCCCTGATCAATCATAGTGCCCGAACCTCTTGTATTATTCAAGTTTGGGGGCGGGAGAATGCAGTCCTCCTAGAAAAGTGCATAGATGATTTAAATGACTTCCTTCCTGTAGTTCTCTCATATTTTTCTCTGCAGAATGATCAATACAGGTTTCAGGTCCATGTGCTGAAAGATAAGAGCTTTTGCCGCAGAAATCCTTGATTTGTACTAAACAGAACAATATTTTGCAATGACCTAATTAATAAATCTGAAGTTATATTTTTTTCTTCTTTTTTTCTACTGTCCTTTAATTGTGAAGGGGATTATAACCATAAAAAAGTATGTTGCATAGCATACTATCATTTGCTTTTTATTTTTTTTTTATTGGAGCTATGTTTCAAATTTCTAAACCCATTGATCTGGATGCTTCACTGCCATCATCACGTGGCCCCAGAATGCAGGTATTTTAGGCTTACTTGAGTGGCCCTACTTCTTTTGGGTACGTGGGGCTTGTAGGAACGGCACACATGAACACTCCATTTTGATGGCAAGACTCCATGCCTCCTGATGCAATGTTATTTTTTCTCTCTTTTTGGCACAAGTTTCTCTAGCTTTTTTGCAATTTTCCCCTGTCTATATTTGTCATTTGATTTGCTTTATTCAGATGGTAATAGACTGTTTTTCATGTAGACTCCATATCCTCTTTCTTCAGTTCCCATAACTCAGTACAATAATAATATCATTAAGTGGAATTTTGTTTGTGTCTTCTTCTTTTTAATATTCTGTAATACAACCTCCTCCGCCGGTGGCGGCAGCCAGGAATAGGATCCTGAGCATGGAAATACCATCATCCCTGGAGCCAGCACTCCTCCAGTCATGGCTCACAGACAGTACATTCCACTCGTTTTTCAATGGAAATATGCAAAAGCCCCTTCATAAATGCCTAATGAATCTAATCACCCTCCAAGACCATTGTGCACTTATGATGTGTCATTCCCAACACCCCTTAACTTCAGCTGTAACACTCACAAAAACAAGTTCGTGTCATACAGCCCACAGCCAATTATTTCCATGACGGCCTGTTTATGTCATCTGCCCCTCAAGCCAATTTTTTTCATGATGGTTCACGTCATCGTCATCTTCAGGGGCGTTACTGGAGCAAATTATAATATATATGCATTTATATTCATTTTTTTCATTACATATACATCACTGTTTCAGAATTATTGATATTACAAGCTTTATTGAGTCTTTTTCTTATACATATCATTCAGTGGTTTATAAAACTTAGGTTGAAATATATCTTATATTTCCTGTAATATATATGATGGTTTAAGAGGAAAACTGAGACATTTTACTCATTATGAGACTATGAATTGATTTGATTTGGAATGATCGTTTGTGCATATTTTCTTGCCTGAAAGTGGGAAAGTTTGGATAATAATATATACTAGTGGTAGATATAAGAATGATAGTAAAGGTTTCTTCTAAAACTATATTAAAACTAAATTCAACCAAGTTCCAAACTTTAAACAAATATTTCAAAATACCATCATCATGCCATAAATCCTCATTTTCTTCCATTCGTGAAATGTTAGTATTGTCTTAGAATGGCTTCGTTGTATATTATATTTTTATTCTTTTTATTTTTTCTTTCTTTCTCTCTCTCTACATACTTTCAGTGATTTTCTCCTTTTTTGCCATTTTGTTGAAATTCAATATATGTAAATAGGTTCAGGACATACACTACCCATATCTCTTATCTATTGATCCTTAAGTTAATATTAGATAAGATTAGTGATTACCTGGGTTAGCAGGTAAAGTAGCTTTGAAATTTACTCATTATGGATTTAAGGGTTTTTTGTTGTTGTTGTTATTGTCGTTATAAAGTTGTTAATCTCTGCTCTTGGTATACGCCAGTGGTATTTGATTTTATTGGTCATAAGTAGGATGTTATTTAGCATTGTGAAATACAGACTTATCTTATTTAGTACATACTACAAAGTCGTATGTTGCTATTTATTAACCTTTTCCTCTTTTTCAGCAATTGAAATCAACGAGAGACAAGATCCGGCAGTACCAGAAAAGATCAGAGGCAACCCTAGAGAAGGACAGACAGCTTGCTAAACAGCTCTTGCAAAATGGGAAGAAAGAGTAAGTTTTTGTAAAAGTTAAATATTTTATTAGGATTCTTTCCCTGGTAATGGAATTTTGTTGGCTGCACATAGGGCCCAGCGAGACAGAGGCACAATGGGGGGCAGCAGGTTGCACAGATGGCACAGCAACCTGAAACCAACTGCTGCAGTGAGGTGGCATAGTGAGTGGTTATGGAGGTTAGGCATAGTTATGGCATTGTTGTATATGGTATAGAGAGGGCCGAGAATGATCTTAGCTGCTGCACCTTCTTGAGCTGTAGTAGTTGAGTGGCGGTAAGGGAGGAGGCCCAGGCAGGAGGAGGCATAGGCATAGGTCAATTTTGGCAGGTTGAATAGCCTGTAGAGATTTTGAAACTCCAGAAAAGGGACATTAAGCGGACTAGACTCTTTAGGGTTGTTGGGGTAAGCTTATATGACACAGGGGTATCAGTTGAGATGAAATAGCTGAAATGATATCAGTGTGGATAGAAGGAAGAAATATATTGGAATTTTATGTTGTTGTTTTCCCAATATTTGCTAATGAGAACAAGGATAACATTTAGTATAAATTGCTTTATTTTTTAATTATCTTTGTGGGTTCTATCTCAAGACAGTCATAATATTATATGTTAATGATTCTTTTCATAGTGTTGACTATAATTCTTTTGAAAATACCCTTTGTATACTTTTCTGAAAGTTCTTTCATATAAAAGGAAATGGAAAGATTGTAATGAAAGAAGTTCTGTTTATTAAAGATATTAGAAGTATATAAAAGTATTAAAAATGCATTAATACTGTGGAAGGAAAATAGAATATCAGAAAATAGTTTTTTATTCATGTCATCTAGCTTTGAATACTTTATGATGTAAAGACTTGTCTTTTCTCTTAAAATAGAAGATATAAAGAAATCACCCAGAAGCTCAGTATTTGATTATGTTGTTTTAACTTTGTCTTTATTTCTGTCTTTGTTATCATTGATTCTCTTGATTTTGTCACATGATTGATGATGTTATATTATCTTTTCCCCCAAACAGCCGGGCCAAACTTTTGCTGCGGAAGAAACGCTTCATCGAGGAGCAACTCACAAAGACAGATGGAACGCTTGAAAATATTGAAAAGATGATACAGGACATTGAATTTGCTCAGATAGAAATGAAGGTTTGTTTCTTTTTCTTTTTTTTTCCATTTTGCTTGCTCAAATTTTCTTCAATTGGGCAGGTCAGGATATCTATAAACATACAGGATTTAAATTATGTAATACATATAGTGATGGTATCAGTTCTAAAATGTCTTGTATGATGTAAGTTTGTATCCTTTATGATTCGTGTCTCTAACCGTCTCTGTCTTCAAAAATATCACAGAGACACCCCTAGACCAAAGATATAGGTTTAATTAATAACTGTAATTGTTCACAAATATATAAATTTTGTAAAATCATGCATTTATGAAATCTACTGAGCCTCCAGTCAGATTGGATGCTAAGCAGAAATATCAGATGCAGAAGCCTCAAGGCTCCCTAGCAGCTCTTTGTAACCCCATTGATCCTAGAGAATGCCTGTTGAGAAACATCGTTGTAAGATGTATTTGTGTATGTAGGAGGGGGGGCCATGTATCTGTTTGGCAACTTATTCATTGTCATACATTCTAAAAAATCTTTTACAGGGTTTAGTAATAAAGATGGAGGCTTGTTAATAAAGCTAGATAGTGTATGTGTGCATATACAGAAAAATAGTGGTAGTTTTTAAGAATTATTTGTATTATTTGTATGAGCTGATAGAGTGGGTATGGGAAGCTCTGATATTTAGTGTCCCCATCTTAATTTATCAGACCTTTGTTTTTTATCAAAGAATTCAGTGTATTTTTTATGCCAGCTCTATTTTTTAAAATATCATCTTCCGAATCTAAAGATAATTTACTCCTTTTTCTCCACAGGTTGTTGACAGTCTGAAGGTAGGAAACGAAGCCCTGAAACAGATCAATGAAATGCTTAGTATTGAAGATGTGGAACGCATCCTTGATGAAACACAGGAAGCAGCCGAGAAACAGAGGGTATGTCACATATAATTTTCTCTTCTTTCATTTCAAAGTATTGAGTTTTGCATATTCTTTTATCATGGTTATCTGGGTTTTGATATAACACAATCATTATTAGTTATAGTCTTTGGTTCTTTGAGTATTATTGCTTTTTGTTTTATTGTCTTTAATTTGTTTGCTCACCTTTTGTTATTCTTTTTGGAATATGTAGTAAAACAGTCATGAGTTTTGCTATGTCAATTTCTGTTAACACAAGAAACTGAATTCTAAAAAAATGTATTAAAGAATAACCAGCATACTATACTTTCAGGAAATTGATGCACTGCTCAGTGGAGGCATACTGACAGACGAGGATGAATCAGCAGTCGAGGAGGAGCTTGATGCCCTCATTGCTGCAGCTGTTGAGAAGCAGCTGCCTGAGGCTCCCTCCGCAGCAGAAAACCCCGAGGTCGAACTTCCAGACGTTCCAGAGACTCTTCCAGGTAAGGCAGTATTTTGGAAGAAAGAGGAAAGGAGAAATAGCAGGAAGATAGGAGATATGGAGGAAGAAAGGCAGGGAGGAAAAGAGATAGGAGATTGAGAGAGGATGCAGGAAGGGAGGTAGAAGACTATAAAATCTGATTGTAGTCATTTAAAATCAGCTGTATTAGCTTGAATATTTCATTTTTTGTTTTTTATTATAGATGCTGTTTAAAAATGTGCAATTATTGTCAGAATTAAAAGAAGTATATTGTATTTTAGAGTAATATGATTATTTGATTTAAGGGAAACATTTTTATTAGTTTTTAATTTCAATATCATGTTTTGATGATTATTTGAATTACCAAAGTTATCATTTTATTGTTATTTTGTTTCAGTGTTACTTGTTATTTGTTGATATACAGTATAGTATATTATTTTCAGTGTTGTAAGCAGGTTCATTGCAGGATGCTTAAAAAGAGGGTTTTTTTTCTTTCTTTCTTTTTTCTTCTTCTCCTTCTTTCATAACACAGTTTATTAACATTAACAGTATATATATAAAGGGTATCTCAGGAAATAAACCTTGGCAATAGGACATAGGATAAGTGATACCAGTTATTTTCCTGCTCTTTTTTCTTTTCTTTTTCATTTTCTTTTTTCCATTTGATTTTTTAGTTGTGTCAAAATGAGTTGAAATTCCAAAGCCCTTCCTCCTTGATTATAGAATTAAGAGAAATTAATGTTTGAAGGGGAAAATTGAAGAATGTTTCTCACACAATAGTCTTGTATTAGACAAGTAATTCATACTTTAATAAATATTTAAAGGCAAATGATTTAACAAATATGATAAAGAGAGTAGATGAAAAGTTTCCTTTAATCTTCATCCACTATTAAAGGATAATATGGAGATTATTCCCGAGATAATTCATATCCAAGCGCCACGCATTGGTTTCATACCCACCCTATACGAAGACATGTTCTTTTTCCCATAGAATACTGGCTCTCTGTTTTCATTTGGACATTTACTCGTGTCTATATCACAATCATGAGTCAGTACCTTGCCCTACCATTAGTACATACCTTTTAACCACTTCCCGCCAGGTGGAATGTATGTACATGCCTTTTTATTGGCTCATCAGAATGAGCTTGTTTTTGTCCAATAGCAGCTGCATCATTTCTATGATTAAACTTTTTGGCAAAAGCACCTAAAGTGAAGTTAAACCTTAAGAAATTTTCTATTTTTTAAAACTGTATCAAAATACAAGCTTTTAGGTGCCAAATGTTGCCTAAAAACTACCGAACAAGCCTGGTGCAAACAGGAGAAACAGTTAGTGGTCATGCCCATTTGACAAATTTTTTAACAGGCATTATTGGGTTAATGAAATGTCAGGAATTTACACACAACCAAACTTTAATGCTTAACAGTTGAGTGACTACTTATGAACACAGATGGAAGGACTAGTTAATTTCAGTGTTCATTATTTTCTGTGACATCATTTATTTTCTAGATAGCAGGGGGATGGCCTGTGTCAAAGTCAGTTGTGGGAAGAACTTGATTACCAACTGCAAAATTACGATATGACGCAGGGTAGCATTTGGTTTAGAGTGCCAATGTAACCAAACCGGATGCGAGGCTATACTGTATTTAACCCTATGATGATAGGGCCTGAATATCAAGTGATGTAATATTACACTACAGTCTAGACTTTGTGGCTAGGCATAAGTTATATGCAGCCAGCCCACCCCTTGTGAGTCATGACAGCTATAGCCGTACCCATCTCTGAAGGGTTAACAGCCTAAACCACAATTTTTTGTTGAGAACATTTCATACATGCATGTTTTTCTTTCATTCTTTCTTTCTTTTTTAATCTCTCTTTTTTTTTTTTTTCTTCATCACATTTTTTCCTCCATTCACAGAGCCTGCAAAGGAGAAAGTCAAGACCAAGGAAAGGGTTGCCATGGCTGCCTCGTAATCCAGTATTACATGTCACAATGATTGCGTGGAAAGGGCATTAGTCCGGGTTTCAAAAAAAAGGCTACAGGTTTGTGTGGAAATGTGGGAATTTGAGAACCATGAAAGAATTCCTACCTTTGTCCGGTGTCTACACAATTGGAATGGTTTATTATTTGTAACAAACATCATAAATAGAAAGTCATTATGGTGCAATGTATTCTTCTTCTTTTTCTTCTTCTTTTTTTTTTTAAAGTAAAAAAAATAAAATAAAAATCATAATTCATATAACATGTCCATTTAGATATTTGTACATTAGAGATTTTTACGTGTTATCTTTGATTAGTGTGAATTAGTTATCTCACAGTTTTATTTATGCTCAGTTAAGATGTGGTTTCAGTTGACTTTTTAAGAAAAACATAATTATAGTATCTCAAGGGAAAATATAAAAAAAAAAACACTCCGTTAATTTATTAATTATGTATCGTGTTTCTTGATCTCTGTGTCATACATCTACTTCAATAATTAATGCATTTCTTTGGTATAATTACTTACTGGTACTATGGTTTCTTGTTGTGCACTCGCACGCTTTAACCCCCTCCCCCCCTCGCCCCCAGCTACAATTGCAAGTAATGCACTGATATAACCATTATGTATCACAGCTTGTAATGAGAAAGGTGCAGTGATCATATTCAAATTGAATGCCTTTATACCTCTGTTTAAGGAGAAAATTTGGCCTTTTTTCTGCTACAGAAGATAGGTTTAAAAGGAAAAGAAGTACTAGTTTTATTAAGTTTAGCAGGCAGGATGTGAAATTTGAGAAATGTCATATTTTATTAAATGTTCTTCAAATTTATAAAAAATCACATGTATGCTACCATTATATGTCCATGTCAATGGTTGTATCTAGTCGCCACATATTCAAAACAGAAAAGAATATATACATGTACTAAATGTTTTATACTTTGCCTTATTATGAAACTTTCTCTTGATAAATAGATATGATATATTTGTATGAGGTACAAGAAAATAATAAAATATTGAAAAATTGTTGTCTTTTATTTGATAAAGTTTTGGAAAGTCTCAAGGTTGTGGATTATTTTTATATTTGTATGATAAGGATGTCATTGTGAATAATATGGGTTTAAGTGAAAATTCATTTTTTTGTTTGTATATGTTTTGGTTCATATTGTTGGGTTAGTATTTGCATATATACATGTTAGTGAGTAATCATTATATCAGCAATATTAATAAATTGCACTGTGACTCTCCTATTAGGCAAAATATTCTTGTGGGAATCTTGGCCAACAGCACACTTCCATTCATCTTCTGTTGATAAATGATGCAACAGCCAAATATACATTTTGCAGATCCAAAATTAAATAGGTGCCTGTTTTTGCCCCTTCTATTGCAAAAAACTGAGCCCATTTTTTCTGGCCATAAATGTTTTGATATAATAACTAAAAATTACATTTTTAAAAAATCTATCTGTCTTCTAGAATGAGCCATATATCAGTTTTATAAAAATTTGGTCAGAAAATCAATTATCCAACTAGAAATAAACAGACTCATAATATCTGACAATATCCTGCATAAAACATTTCCTGTCTGGGAAACACCGAGTTAATTAGACTCACCTTGTGGCATTCTTTGATGTATGAATGAATTCATATTTAGTCATCTTTGGTTTAAGCATGCAAAATTACTACTTTTATATCATATTAATAATTCTTCCTCACTCTCAAGTATTCACATTAAAGTGTTTTGCTTGAGGAAATGTTATTCAGGTTAGTTTTAGTGGCAGGTCAAAGGTAGGTACTCGGTACAGACAGAAATTTTAAAATGTATGACAGTAATCTGAGGGACTGGAGCACCCAGAGTCACAAAAGGATAAATCTTTGGATCTTTTCAAACCATTGTTTTACACTGTAAATGATGATATTCATTTCCTTTAGTACAAATGCATATTTTTACAGCTAAATATTTTCATAGATAAGGCCATTATATGATTTCTAGCTCCACATTAATTTGTTAAGCACTTGGGTGTGTTTATCTACATTTTTCTATTTCAGCTTTTCAAAGAACCATTTATGGAATGCAATAAGTGAAATTTTCTGGGAAATTATTTGCTTGTTTGTTACGTTCTCAAAGATAGAGATACTTAAAATTATTTGAGAGAAAAGATTGTCTTCAAAGATATAATGAAAGTGTAAATTGTAAAGGAGGGGTGGCCAACCTTTTGTGAGATATGATCTACTTTTTCTACAGTTACCAGCCTAAGATTCCATAAATGTAACACAGGAGTAGTCTGTCTTTATAAATAACTGTATGTTGTTCAAACATGTTCATCATTATAAATATAAACATAACTTATTACCAGAAAAAAGAGAAACATAATAATGCAAGTATCATGAGTGCTTACATATGCTATTGCACCTATTTGCATGACAACTTCTGAAGGACGAATTATTAACAGGTACAGTAGTGTGATTGACTTGAAACAGGCTTGTGATCGACCAGTCAATCGCGATCGACTGGTTGGTCACCCCTTCTGTAAAGATATGCAAAATAGGCAGATGCTATATTGGTAAGAGTGAAGAGAATGAATAAACAGAGAATGCGTAAAAAGAGTGTTAGTGGAATAAGTAAGAGAGTTGGTGAAAGAATGAAGAATTAGTGAAACAGAGAGTGAGGATTGCTAA